CACTGTGGCTGTGTGTCATCTGGAGGAGGCGAAGACAGCACTGTCAGTATCAATATTGCTGCAAATGAGCATATAAGATCATGAGCAATTTTTAGTGTCAATAGTATTTGAGTATCTTTTTCTTTTTGACGACCCTAGATCACATCACTGAACCTGAGAAGACGTCAGAGACACACTTGCTGAATCCATGTCACCAAAACGCAAGTGATTACCACAAAGAAACAACACCAACAGGTTTTTGTTCTCACACTAACAATTGTACATTGTTAGTGTACCTATGAAGTACATTATGAATTTGAATAAATAACACAGAGAAAACAGGAAGTCCTTCCATTTTAACAGTCACAGCCACTAAACTGAAACATTTCTGTTTGTTGCCAACGAGTCTGAAGCAGAGTGAAGATTAGGCAAATTAGACCAATAATGGATTAAAAAGCCTGTGTGTGGATTGAGACAGGATTTTAGAACACAGTTAGACACTTATGTTACTGTATAGCTTGAATTGAGACTTGTCTAACATCAAACTGGATCAGAGTTCTGACATCCACAAGTGAAACTCTGTCTGCCAGGGAGCATTTTATCTTGATGCACTGATCCAGTATTTGGATCGCGAATGGGTCAAATCCTGACTCAAAAACCTGGATCACATATTGGTGACCTGGGCTGGCCCATTTAACTTAGTTGTCTATATGTAGGCATTTCACACCTGTGATGCTGACATTTACGGCTGCAACGATTCATCGAATAATTCGATTTAAAAGAAACTCTTGGCATAAATTCTTTGCTTTGACGTTTCGTTTTAATGCACAGCTCAGTAGGCGCCGATGTGTTAAATGATGTAAATGTGAGGGTTTCATCCACATTTGCTGCTAAAACAGACCTGAAATACAAACGTATTCAGGAGCAGTGTGTGAGTAAGAAGTCTGACGTCATTAAGCCCACAGAGCCCTAGATTTAAACAAAACCACCGATAACAACAGCAGCAGGAGAGAGATGGTGAAATCAGGTAGCATGGAAGAAAACGTGTTTCTAATATCCAAAAACAGCAGCGCTGTTCCTGAAATCACCATTAAAATTTTTACTGGGAAAAAGCTAGTGAGTCTTTTATCAAACCACCTGATGAGAAAACTCTGACGTTAAGAAAAACAAACTTTGTAGCTGCTCCATCGAAACTTCGTTGTTTCACACAGAGAAACATCTGCAATAAGCCCCCAGAAGTTGCATTAATATGCAGATGAACCGTTAACATACAATGTGCTCTGTGAGCTATGTAAACTAACTGGATATCTTGTTTTGACAATCACCAAGCTCAAATGAAAGGACAGAAAACAAAGCACAGAAAAATGTCAAATAAACCAGGACCACAAATTTTAAATATTCTGTCTTTTTTACTTGTCTGTTCAAAAGGGTTGTGCATCCTGTAGTTCATCCCTACACGGGCTTGGATGAGAGAATAAGAAAATTAAAAAACAACAACAACAACAAAAAATGTGGCTAAAATCTAATCTTCTTACAAGTAACTTCAAAACAACCACATCTAATCATACAAATTCATACGAACAGGGAGAAACTATGAATGAAATCTCAGCCATTTGGGCTGAGCTCTGATTTTGCTGTGGGAGGCATTGCGTTGGTATGTTTTGGGACCATGCAAGCCTCACTCCAAATCAAGACAAGACATCTTTGAGGATCAAAAATGTCTGAAGATGTTCTGGTGATGTTCACATGTGAGGCTAACACCTTACTGAGACACTTTACCGCTTGTTCCTTTACATTTGTCTCCTGTCTACACCATTTCATTCTTTTCACTGCGAGTTCATAGAGTGTGGGTTATACTAACTCACATTCATTCATTGACAGTTTGTATTAATAAACCAGCGTCCAATAATTCCTCACTGGCCCCCTCTCCTGCACGCCAAGTTCACACCTCCACTTATTTGTTCCGCTCAAGCTTCATCAGCAGCTGGTATCCACTCTTATCAGGAGCTCTGACAGAGTCACGCTTAAGGCATCCAGCATCAGTGACGCTGCAATACAAGTTTGACTCTTTGCCAATGGGACGAGGAGAGCGCTCGGGTACTGATAAACATACCAACTCAACAAATAACAAGAACAGAACAAAGTCCAATTCCGAGCTTGCCTGCAAGAAACAATGACGGTCAGTGGTGATAAATTTGATTGATGGTGGCTTTTAATTAACTGGTCCCAAAGTACAAGGCAATCGGTCAAACCCAGAGGTATTCACAGATATAGACACAAAAGCTTCCACCATTACATAAACTAAGGTAGCTTTTTTAAAATAACACAGGCTTGGTGACACAGCTGCAACTGGATGGGCGTGATTTGTAGCAGCCTGACTGTGAGAGATCTGCTTTCTGCTGTACTTAGTAATAACTATTTATAACTTTAAAACAAACAAACAAAAAAAACATCTATTCAATGAATGGTTTTTACTTTTAAGTATCACATATTATTTGAACTGTTCTACATTTTTAAGGTTAAACGTTACTGGGGATGGGGAAAGAATTGATACAGGACAGTAATGTGATATTCTGCATTGCAAGGTTATATTGATATAGGGACAAAATCAGTATTTTATTAAATAAAAGTAAAATATTTTGGGAATACTATGAAGAAGAGGTCACAGTTTTACTTGGACTGACAGCAGTCACTCTCAATAAGTTTGCAAATGGCTGCTGTTTAGTTTATAAATGTAGACAGATTGCCAACATGTTGCCATGAGTCTGAACGAGTCCTTACCAGTGAACACAGTTCAACTCAACTCAACTGGCTGCCAGCTAGTTGTATTCTGGTTACATTCCAAAAGAACAGGAAGGTTATCGAGCGCAAATGTAATATTTAAATATGAATTTCTGTCTGTGTAGACAGCAACAGGTGTGATTTTCAATGATTTATCACAGTTTACTGCTGTATTATCAGAAACAGTAGATGTAATTGCCAACCTGACCCCATTCAATTCCAGACTGAATCCATCTTATAGCAACAATTATACCAGGTGTTGCTATTGATGTTCTCATTTTGCAGCAAATAAATAAATAACTCAAGTGAGACAACTTTATTTTACTGGATAAAAACAAATTCTAAAAGTTCAACTTTGAGGAAATTATTTGTAGTCAAAAAAGGTCACAAATCATAATATATGTTATGGCAATACTCAGTATATCCCAAACAAAATGTTCAAAATTGCAATATCATCATATCATCACTGAGGTATTGTGAAATTATTGTATCGTGGGGTGTCTGGTGATTCCGACCTGTATTAGAGCTTTATATAGAACAATGTATGTAAAAAATCTACTTTTGACTGCTTTCCTGTCACAAAGGCTTGATACAAAGAGTTGCCACAGCGGGTAGCTCCACGTTTGATGTCAGATGTTCTTCCTGACCCAACCCAAAAGAGGATTTATGTTGCCGGCTAAAATCAAACCTGTGCCCTTTCTCTTACCAAGTGAATGTGTTAACCATTACACCATTGGAGACACATACAGAGCAGTATTAAATTACATACATTTTCTATGTATTTAATAATTGTGTGAATTAAAACATTTTCTTAAAGCAGGAACTATACAAGTAGCAGGAAACTTATAAAAGCAAATACTATTATTCAAATAAATACATAGAATGGTTCTGCCATAACCCTATTTGATGGCCTCATGGTGAATACACTCTAAACAGTGGTCATAAATAGCTTCAAGAAACTATTAGTTAGTCCAAGTCTATGTAACACTAAACTGATCTTACATAGACACCTTTAAAAACAGATAAAAGATTTGATAATAACTCATTTATATGTCAAAGAATTAGCCTTGTTTATTACAAAACAAAGACACTGTATTCTTTTTACAAGGAAACCAAAGGCACTCCACACTGGTGTGGATTTAAATAAATCTACATGGTTTAAAAATGTCTTGTCTTTGTTTGTTACTTAATGCCACTGATTATCATATTAGTACATGCCACATTCAATAGGTGATTACATTTTATCATCTTAAGTGCATGGGCAGCCCATTTACTGAGGTGAAAGTACTTCTACCACCCGAGACTGTGAAAAACTAGAAATGCTCTCATTTTATCATGCCTGCTAAAAGCTTTGACCTTTTATCTGATTGTCTTACCCTCCTAACTTACAATTGTAACGCTGATAGTTAAGGCCTGCCTTTTATCTTACGATTTTAAAATTCAAGTGTTTTTATTCTTTAATTTAATTTTAAATTTGATTTTTTTTATTATCAAATATGACAGTAAGATATGACTAATATACGGGCTTGAACATTTTGTTTTTTTATTTTGTATCTCATGTTTATAATATTTTGATGTCACAATTTTTTTATTTTTCAATACTAACTTAGTAAGTTAACTACTGAGTTTATTTCATCATTCATACTGAAAAGAATAACTTTTAAATGGTTACGTAGTTTTCCTCCAATTTCATTTCTTTTCCTTATGTGCTGTGAATCACAGTCGCTCGGGCCCAGCTGTTGACTCAAAAGCAACATTAGCGACTAACACTGCTAACAGCTAGCGTGACAAACCAAAATGACTGAGATTAGATAGCTGACAGTCGGTTGGATTCACTTCTCTATTACCAACTAGCGCCTGAACTCAGTAGCCACGGTGGGAACGTTTTAGCTTCATATGAACAAATCAGCTAACAGAGGAGAACGACAACAACAGCTTCGGCTACCTGCTAAATTTGTCTGATACCGACTGAAGCTAAGCGCTGCCACTAGTCGAGCTAACGGTAACCCAGAGCTGACCCTTTAGCTTAGCCACTTAGCCAGTCGGGTTACAAATATCGAGTTTAGCTGCTTTTGCCTCCCGTTTAAACCAAGGCCATGCCTAACTAATCGATGAAATAATAAATTAAATATTGCAACACTGCCACTACCTCTCTAAAACCAATTGTCTACACACTGTCCATGTTGTTGTTGTTGGGGGTTAGCATGGTTGGAATTCAGTGCTAGGTTGGGAGGGCTAACCTGAAGCTCGGCCCTCTCCACTTCCCAGTGCGCCCTCTCCATCTCGAACCGGGCCCACTCATGCTGGATGTAGTGCAGGATGCCGGGGATTGTGTACTGCTGCTGCGGCCGAGGTAGCTCATCGGGCTGGTGTGGTACCATGACTGCTCCGCCACCACCGCCTCCAATTGGCGGATTAGCACTACTGTTATTCCCCTGCTGCTGCGGTGGCGGAGGCTGTCGTGGGGCACTCGTTCCGACCCCTCCTCCGCCGGGGTGTTCGTCCATAATTTTTTTTTTTAAGTAGAAGGAAAGTCTCCACAGGCAGCAACGATCCGCGGAGGGATCCCCGCCCCCTAAAGCCCGTGTCTCAGCTCCGTCCCTGTCTCGCTGGCTCCGCTGTGTTGTGTAAAACTGGCTTTCCTCGGAGCGATGTGGTGCGCGCGGCTGATTGGGGACTTGGTGTTTTGTATAGAGCTAACCGGCCGCCATTGCTGTTCTCTCCCCCGACCTCTCTCGGATCCGATGGTCAAGGTGGGAGAACCCAGCCGCAATGCCTGACGGGACACATCCATCCTCCTTTTCCCTTCCTGCTATCCAAATATATTATGGAACCTTCACTGCTCAAAGAAAGGGTAGTAAAATATAACTCTTTAACGGAGCATATATTAAGATGTATAGGGAAATACAGCAGTTTTACCTTTAGCTAGCAGATACATTGTGGTTATTGTCTATTGCTCCTTTTAAGTACCACAACCACAACTTCTAAACAGCTGAATCTAAAACCCCGTCCAGGATCGTAACGAGCATTTTTAAACCGTGAGTACAGTACAATAAATTATGTACAAATTATGTATTATGCATCTTTCAAAGGAGAAAAATGCAAACATTAATGGGATTTTCTTTTGGATTGTTTGCGTTGAATAATTACTCCCTCAAATGTCTTGAAGCTTATATTACGAGCATGTTTTTAAAGTATAAGTAGAAAGTACTTGCGTTCAAATGTAGGGAATAACTGTTACCCTGGAAGGCACCTGTCTACGCATGCGTACCAAATGCTATGGCTGTATATTGTTGAATGTCCTCTTTCGCTGGTATTTATTTACCCTTACAGTAAGTACTTTACAGTAATCTTACTTTAATCCTGTAAACCGACAGCATTGTGTTTAAAATAACATTAGATTGGGGCAAAAACTCGTTAACAGAAGTTCCCGTTTTAGCCCGTTTGATGGAGTTAATGTAGCAACTGGCACAAGCTAACAGCTGGCGGTAAGTAAAACAAACGTTCAGGTATGGAGTGAGGTATTAGATTGCAATATCTCATACCACGGGGCAATGGTCTGTACTGATAATATCGACTTTACGATTCCTCTGCAGCCAGCAACCGATCGGATAATGATCAAGTTCGTGCTAATGGTGAACCGACAGGGTCAGACCAGGCTGTCCAGGTATTATCACTCTGTGGAGCTGAGCAGAAGAGCAGCTCTTGAGGCCGATGTAGTACGCTACTGCCTGAGCCGCAAGAAAGATCAGGTGTCTGTCTGCGAGTTCCCAGTCTTGTTTAGATCAAATAAATAACATAACAATATCATGTTTATAACCCCTCTCTGTTTGCAGTGTTCCTTTGTGGAGTACAAAGACTTTAAATTGGTTTACCGCCAGTATGCTGCTCTGTATATCGTGGTGGGCATCACAGACAGTGAGGTGAGTGTGATCGGAGGTATTTTACACCTCTTTCGTCCTTTCAATGGTCAACAGGACGTGTTTCTCCTCTTTACTCTCACAGAATGAGCTGTCCATCTACGAGCTGGTTCATAACTTTGTGGAGGTCTTGGATAAATACTTCAGCCGGGTGGTGAGTTCAGTTTGATCGAGGTTCTTACAGAGATAAATACTGGTAGCCGCCAGTGCTACACCTCAGCATCCTAGTAGATGCATCTGTGGTAGAAATGTGAAAATCCTAAAAAGCCTCAGAACTTGAGGTCAAAGTCACAATGACTAGCTATTTTGTAGATGCACCTTTTGAATTGGTAAATTTTACCTCACTTCATTCTCGAGCTATACTGCTGAGGGGTGAAAACCATTGGATCCATTATCAGTGCAGGTCTAAGGCAGGTCTCAAAACTGGCGTCAAGCCAGCCTCCAGTTTGTTTTCTGTTCCCTGTGTATTCAAAGTATTACGGGAAGAGATGTAGAAACCTGACTTCAAAATATAAGCCACCTTCGAGTGAATTAACAGATATGTTAAGAACATAATAACATATAATTTAGTCTTGTTTACACACTCTAATGTTAGCTCCACATGACACAACCCTGTATCCTAGTAGCGCCCTGTCAATATCAAGGCCATCTTATGTTGGATTCCAAAGTAAAAGCCCTGTGAATTTTCATTTTTGAACTACTCTTTCAATAGAGTAGACTAGAATAAAATAAAGCTTTATTATCCCACGGATGAGAAATTTCGGCGTTACAGAGCTCTTGCAGCAAGGGAAAATAAAATGTAAAAGGAAGGCACAATGTGGTCCTATAAACATAAGCAACCGAAGTTCGTAAATACAGGTATATACAGATAACAGTGTACAGAATGTGTATAGAAAAATTGGAAAATTGTACAGAGATATGTATAAAATGTACAGTAAACAAGCTGGTGAGTAAGATGACCAAAAGAATGTTAAGTTGCATTATAGAGTCTGACAGCTGCTGGTAAGAATGACCTGCGGTAGCGCTCCTTCCTACACTGTGGGCGTAAGTCTACTGCTGAACGAGCTGCTCAGTGCTCGTACAGTCTCATGCAGGGGGTGGGAGGTGTTGTCCATGATGGATGTTAGCTTAGACAACATCCTCTCCTCCCCAACCTGCTCGATGGACTTCAGTGGACAGTCCAGGACAGAGCTGGCACTCCTGACCAGTTTGAGTTTCTCCCTGTCCCTCTCTGCCATTCCGCCACTCCAGCAGACCACAGCATAGAAAATAGCAGACGCCACCACAGTGTCGTAAAACGTCCTTAGGAGTGTCCTGTTCACCCCGAAGGATCTCAGCCGCCGTAGCAGGTGGAGACGACTTAGACCCTTCTTGTAAAGTGCATCTGTGTTTGTGGACCAATCCAGTTTGTTATTGAGGTGAACACCCAGGTATTTGTACTACTCCACCATTTCAATGTCCAAACCCTGGATGTTCACTGGTGTAATAGTTGGTGGCTTCTTGCTGAAGTCAATCACCAGCTCCTTCCTCTTGCTGGCATTGATGCGAAGATGGTTCTGTTCGCACCAGCTGACGAAGTCAGTGATCAGTTCAATTATTTCAGAATGCTCTTAAAAGCAAAACTCATATTTCCAAAGACTAGTTGCACTTTATATCAACAGTATCCAACCCCACAGTGATACCATGTCAATTTCAAGTCAGTCTGAGTTTTGCCTTCCAAAATAAAAGCCATTTCAAATTGCCCATATATGACTTAACTTTCAATGATTTCAAAATGCTCTAAATAGGAAAATTCCTGTTTTCACAGGATAATTTTTCACCTTAAATCAACAGTGTCCAACCCCACAGTAAAACCATGCCAATTTCAAGTTGCTCTGATTTTGCCTTTTAAATTAATGGCCCCTTTGAATTTCCCCATATATGATATACTCTTTCAATTTCTTCAGAATGCTCTTAAAATGAAAATTGCTGTTTCCACAGGATAATTTAATTCTAGATCAACAGTGTACACTCTCATGGGGATACCAAGTCAATTTCAAGTCACCTTGATTTTGCCTTTCAAGGTAATGGCCCGTTGAAATTGCCCATATATGACCCACTCTTTCACTGACTTCAGAACACTCTTAAAAGCAAAGTTGCTGTTTCCACAAGTTAATGTCACTCTATATTGACAGTTGTCATGTTCACAATTTTTGGAAGGAATCTCAGGAGAAAGGTTTGTCTTTTAAAAAAGGATTTACTTTGCTTTTGGCAGTTGAAATTACAAGTTTACACAGCGCTGTGGACATCTATGTGAACCAGCAGCATGTTTCACAAAAAGGATGACCCTCAAGTGTGCTGTACAACATTATATAGTAAGACAAAAACATAGATTAAAGGAGCTATCTTCCTCCCGCACGGACGTGGCAGTCTTGGTGTCATCCTCGTATTTTCGTGACCTCGTCTGGTATCTGCTCCCTCGTCTGTAAGAGACAGAGAAGCAAAACACCTCTCTGCCTAGCCTTGATAATCTAATGGTATTATCCATTGTTCTTCTAGTGATTCAAAGTTGGTTTAGAATATCATGTTCGGCACTCTCTGACCCAGACTTATTCTAATCATAATCTATGTGTGTAAGCATGTTTGCAGTTATCCCTCTGCACCTCTAAGTCATTTCCAACAATATATCAGTCCGGTCAGTCACGTCGAACGAAGCTTTTGAAATTCAAAAGACTTAGTGCCAACTTATTATTGGGCACATTTGCAATGTGTGTATGAAAATGATTATAACCACTTATTTTAGTAATAGAAATCAAACATTTTCAATCCCAACATTCCCTCCTTTCACACGTTTTAATGTGTGAACAAAAAACATGTTTCGTTCAGCCTGCTGTCCCACAGGTTCCCTCCAGAGTGATACTCAGCCTTTCAGCTTTTCCCTCTTAACTGGGATGGTGTCCTGTGGTCGAGTCAGCGCTAAATCAGCTGTCGTCCCCAGGTCAGATACTGGGTCTTCCAGACTGTCAGCCGGCCTCCTCATGGGAACGCATTAAACGAACACAGGCATCTTATCTTCTAAACACGATTCAGTTTCTTTTGATCATTAAAGCTTAAACACAAAATTGCAATATACATTTTGCCTTTCCTACCTCTAAACACCTGGGGCAATTTATGTCTTGGTTCAGCCATGAAGCCAGCTCACCTGATTCATCACAGAGCCCAACCGACACTGGCAACTGATAGGGTCGCACTGCATGTTCTTCCCTTAGTGTCGCTGTTTTCAATCTGTTAATTGTAGTCCTCAAACATGGGATAGACAACATCCACAACAAGTCAATACAGCTGTGAATGTGGCCAGTTATCAGTCAATTACCAATCAATGACAAAATGATAGCTTTTAGCCACTCATCCAGAGGATCTTCAATCCCAGAAAACTCCTTCTCCTCATTTGATAATGTCTATCCTACTCTGTCAAAAGTTCAATTTTCAATTCAATTTTATTTATATAGCGCCAAATCACAACAAAAGTCGCCTCAAGGCGCTTCATAGATACAGAGAAAAACCCAACAATCATATGACCCCTTAGAGCAAGCACTTTGGCGACAGTGGGAAGGAAAAACTCCCTTTTAACAGGAAGAAACCTCCGGCAGAACCAGGCTCAGGGAGGGGCGGGGCCATCTGCTGCGACCGGTTGGGGTGAGAGAAGGAAGACAGGATAAAAGACATGCTGTGGAAGAGAGACAGAGGTTAATAACAAGTATGATTCAATGCAGAGAGGTCTGTTAATACATAGTGAGTGAGAAAGGTGACTGGAAAGGAAAAGCTCAATGCATCATGGGAATCCCCCGGCAGCCTATGTCTATTGCAGCATAACTAAGGGAGGATTCAGGGTCACCTGGTCCAGCCCTAACTATATGCTTTAGCAAAAAGGAAAGTTTGAAGCCTAATCTTGAAAGTAGAGATAGTGTCTGTCTCCTGAATCCAAACTGGAAGCTGGTTCCACAGAAGAGGGGCCTGAAAGCTGAAGGCTCTGCCTCCCATTCTACTTTTAAATACTCTAGGAACAACAAGTAGGCCTGCAGAGCGAGAGCGAAGTGCTCTAATAGGGTGATATGGTACTACAAGGTCATTGCGACCCGTCCAGGGTGCAGGGTATGGTAGCTGGAATAGCAACATACCCAAGGATAAGCAGAAGAGAATGACTGATATGATGAAACTGGGATTTTGTTACACTTAATTATTGCAAACACAACTAAAACTATAACTGAAACTAATCAAAACTAAACTGAAACTAAGGATTTTCAAAAAAATAAAAACTAAACTAAACTAGCAAACAATTTGGTAAAAACTAATTAAAACTGATATAAAATTGAAAATCTGAAGTCAAAACTAAATAAAAATAAAAACTAATGAAAATTGCAAAACTATTAAAACCCTGACTCCCACACACGATACCATTGTGAGGGTGTATAAATATGGGCGCCAATTGTGGTCATAAATATTTTGTACTTGTAAATTAGGATTCGTATGTGTAAAAATAATTTGTGTGTGCGTAAAAAAAGATTTGTGTGTGGACTAATAGGTGTGAAACTCGGCACTCAAGTTACAAGTACGAATTTTGACCCGGTTTTTCTTCCTTTCATCTGATTGGCCAATGTCATGTTAATCACAAATTTAACTATCCAATCAGAGAACAGGTGGGTTTGGCTATTGGAGGGGTGATTTATGGAGCATCCCTGGGATAATAAAACTTTATTCTATTCTACTCTATTTGAAAGAGCAGTTCAAAAATGAAAATTCACAGGGCTTTTACTTTGAAATCCAAAATAAGATGGCCTTGATATTGACAGGGTGCTACTAGGGTACAAGGTTGTGTCATGTGGATCTAACATTAGAGTGTGTAAACAAGGCTAAATTATATGTTATTATGTTCTTAACATATCTGTTAATTTACTTGAAGTTGGCTTTTATTTTGAAGTCAGGTTTCCACATCTCTGAATACACAGGGAACAGAAAACAAACACGAGGCTAGCTTGACTGCAAGTCTCGAATTGGAGGCTGGCTTGACACAAGAGTCTTACAAGCATTAAAAGTAATGATTACAGTTTCAAACATATTGTACACTTTTTGAGATGTCTGTAACAACAAATGAAGACACTGTTGAAATGCATGAAGCTGCTGCTGTTTGAATGTTTCAGTCTAATGTGCATTTCTCCCTACAGAGTGAACTGGATGTATCCTGTAACACAACCACAGCTGCACACACTGCATGTATAAGAGTCATGCTAAAAGCACAGTGTATATTTTACCAAAGCTCAGTAATTTTTAATTGCTTGTTAACTAATTTCAAATAATAATAATAAATAATATTATTATTTAAAAGCTACTTCATATACATTGTATAGTCAGCTGAAGGACAGTGACCATTGACAAGGACAGAGAATGGCTAAAATAAAATAACCTGGAGACACACAATAGATTTAGAGCGGAGGTCAAATATTCATGTAAAAGTTACCCATCACTAGTTGTTCAGTAGGAGTCTTTGTCTTTCTTTATTTCCTTGTTTCCTTGACCCTTCGCCTTTATCAGATAATGTTCAATCTGGATCGAGTTCATATTATCCTGGATGAGATTATCCAGAACGGACACATTGTGGAAACAAACAAGAGCCGCATCCTCGCACCCCTCACCACTATTGACAAGATGGTGGACAGCTAACAAAAAGAAGAAAGGAAGTCACGGACTGTTCTTCAGGCTGAGGACTGGCCTGCAGCTTACAGTCTGAATTTAGAATCTGCTTAAAGGTACTGATGTTAAAATAATAAAAAGAACAACTCAGTGCCCACATGTACTCTGGTCAGTATATTAATACACATCTGTACAGTGTATCCAGATGTTCGATCTGCACAGCTGAGAGAAGGAAGCCTCCCTCTGAAGTTGGCCAGTTTGAATTTATTCGAGAAGAAAACCGGTTGTGTGAATTTAGCGGGGAATGAATTACATTTTATTTTTTTATTTTTAATTTGCCTTTCGGGGTATTGGCAGACCACAGGAATTGTTTGTAACAAACCAAAACGTAAAGACATTTGGTGGTATCATGTCTAATATGTAATAAAACAATAAAAAAAAAACAAAATAAAAATTCTATAACTCTAGTTCATTTTTTTAAAATATATCCTTAATACTGAAACATCTGTATGATAAGTTTGCAAAAAAAATTTAGAAAAAGGCTACAAGATAAATATCTAAATCAATTACATCTCTACGCGGTGATTCTCAGCAACTGGACTGCTGTAGATGATAAATCTGCTTCAGCCTCATGTTGGTTGAAGTGCGGTTGTAATACTGAAACACTTAAACGTGCAAACGAAATGGGAAAAAAAAAAAAGTATCAAAGATTCATATTCTTCCACAGACCACAAGACTCATTCTTTACTTCATACTTTGCAAACATTTTAATGATTATTTTTTTTGGAGCATACACATTTGAAAATATCTGTTTACCTCAAATTGCAACTTGAGTTAAATAAATGTTTATAATATACAAAGAAAATACAGGGATAGCAGAGCTTTCTTTTTTTTTTTTAATCTTTCTCTTTAGATGTGCCTTGCACACAGCCAGTGTTTTTGTCTCTATAGCTTCATTGTAAAACAAACACCAAAGGCTCTCTGACCTTTGACCTTTACAACTGGTCAGTAACAACCAGAGAACTGTCGCACACACACAAAAACAAAAAGCAATAAATGGGGGGAGGTGGGGATCCATGAACATTTCAGGGAGGAGGAAGTGAAAACAGAAGCTACGAGTCAAACCAGGCACCAAACTGAGAGCAGACAGGAGGAGGAGATCAGCACACACACACGCGCGCACACACACACACACGCAAGCCTGCAGCATCAAAGCTGGGAACAGACCAGCAGCAGCAGCTCAGGATGGTGAGGAAGAGGATGCTGCTGCTGATGATGAAGGAGGCGGTCAGAGAGGTGTGAAAGATGTGACAGCGTTTCTTTCATTTTGTTTCTGCAACATAAATCCTCCTCCTCCTGTAGCAGGAGGTCCGGCCGTCAGTCAGTCAGCTGGTTTGGATTGGCTGGCTGATCCGTCAGTCACAAGGCGAGACGGACAGATGACTTGAGAAGCATGCTCAGTGTGGCAGCGGTGGTCAGTTGAGGTGGAAGCCTTTCTCCATGGTAGCGGCTAACAGGCGCTCCCTCATGATGTCCTCAGATGAGTACTCGGGCAGCTTCAGGTAGTGAACACAAGTGTTGACAGATGGGTAGCTGGAGTCTGTGGCATCCACCTACGGAGGCAACAGTCAGTCAGCTTACTGACTAAAACTACACACATTAACAAACTCAGTCATTCAGAGAGCCAGTTTACCTTCCTGACGATGGTGAGTCGGGGGTGAAGGTTGGCAAGACCACCAGGTGGCAGGGTGGAGCAGCCAGTGGTAAACTGCAGGAAGGCTTTACGCTCATCAGATGACATTCCACATAAGACTCGCACAAACCGCAAGAAGCCAGGGCTGAAGGAAGAGGAGAGGTTAAATACACGATGCCGTAGCTCAGTGTCTCCATTAGCATTCTCAATCATCCAGGAAAGTAAATCTCCAAAAGTTGATTCTGTTCATCTGGACGTAGTGTTACCATGACGCTCCGTCCACATGAACAGAATCAACTTTTGGTGTTTCCATTAGTGTTGATGTAACATGTCATACCTGTCTCTGGTGTAACCAAGCTTTGGTTCTGTGTAGTTGATGATGTCGTCAGCAGTCCAGGAAGGGGACTGGTTGCCACAGAGGATCATCTGCACCTCCTTATGGCTAAAAGAGCTTAGTTTCTCCATTGGAAACACTCGATTAAAACCCTCTGAGGAGGAGAGGAAACATTTATGATATTAGATACCCAAGTATTCACTCGATTTTAGAAATAATCACAAATTTACTAAACTGCCAGGGAAAGGGAACCAAAAAAAGTTTCTTGTCGCAATGGAATCAATTCTATTGTGACAATGAGTCGATAGAACATAAGGGTCTAAAATGAGAGTCAATCTTTAGGGAAAAAAAAAAGTAAAGAGCTCAGGTTAGAAACAGGTGTGAGAATAGACTGGCAGCTGTGTATTTTTCAAAATTTCATGTTGTTGCCAATAGCATCTCCTCCTGTCGGCCTCGGTAAAGCTCAAACTTTACCAAGACCAAGTCCAATTAGGTCAAGGGCGTTCCCAGCATTAAAACAACTGCCTGTGAACACAGAGCACTACTTTCTTGCTTTATGTTGTCCACCTCTTTCCTCGTTTAAACAGGAAACCATTTTATTTTGTGTTTTTTGTTTTTTTTTCTGAAAAACTAGCAAAGAGGGCAAAACAGATTTCTCCACAGACAGGACACTGTAGAGAAGTAATGTGCCAGTTTTGCACATTTACCTCTGAAGGCCTCCATCTGTTTCTGGATGCCAGTGTGCATACAGAAGTCAAACATCAACTCCACGTACTCTTCTGCATTCTCCATGGACACCATCTATACACATAGTAAACACTCAGTGAACTCTTGTAAAATGTGCAAATTTACGTGAAGATATTTCCATCCACATAAGAAGCTTGCTCTGAGGCATTTTTACCTCATCGTCTCCATTTGGTTTGAGATCCACTGCAGAGAAACCATGAACCTTGGAGGATGGACAGAACTGAAAGTTTAACCTGCAGAGAAAAGTTCAAGTGGCTGTCAAACATCTGGTCCGTGTCATATGGGAAAACAAGTCAAAAATCGTAAACTTTCTGCTTTTGCTGTGCAAACTCTTTCACTGCAAATACTGAGCTCAAGTATTCGACAGTCCTGACAGCATGTGTGCTTGTCAGCTGGAACTAGAACACAAGTTATTTACTGAGCTGCTCCTCTGCTCAGATGTTTTTGACCACAACAAAGATTGCCTAGTTAAATCTCGGTACCCAAATACTTCATAAGACTTTATTCTAACCCATGTGGTCTCACATGAAACAAGATTTTTCACATCTCAGTTTCTGGTGAAAACATTATTGTAAGAAAATAGTGCTGTTAAGTGAATGTCATTTTGTTTCAGTCCAGTTGTTTATTTTAAGCAAACAAATGCTAAACCTTTCTTGGTACCACTCATCTTCATCTTTTCCCAAATAACTATGTACCACTTTCTTTGCCATTTCATTTGTCTTATTTGATTTTTAAATGAATTGCTAATGCTATTATTAGCTCTTGGTAAAGGGTAGCTCCAGTTTGACTTCAGCGTGCTGTGTATGCTGTGATTAGAGCAAGGAGAACCCCCTGAGGCTGATGAACAAAGCCAACACACAACAAAACTGCAGTTTCTTTAGGTACCACTTGAGGCTGGCTCCAAAAGGAAGTGAATCCCTTAGACTTGCAATGTTAAAATGAAACATTTAGAGCATTAAAAACTATATCTACAGTCTGGTATCCCCAAAAGGACTATAGGCGTAACAGTAAAAAGCAGCTATTATCACGGTCCTCTTGGTCTTGGTCTTTACTAACCTCTAGCCCTTCTAAGCAAACACTAAAGATGCAGATCGCGTTACCACAAGAGTAACACCTTCAGCACCTTTGTATGCGTCTTTTCTTACCCGAGGTCCTCGACACTGAGGGGAGGTCCAGAGCCCAGCGGGTTCTTCAGCATCAGGTCCTGCAGCCTAGTGTTCTTCTCATCCTCAGACAAACTCTTACTGGCCAGAATCTGCCTCCTCTTCACTGCCAGATCCTTCACTTCCTTCAGGAAACTCGCCCTGGAGGAGGCAGGAAGAGGAGCGAGAGGAAAAGGGCATCATGAGTCTGCTGTAGTGTAGTTATTCTATTGTTGACCTGCTTTCTCTCTGACTTTATCATTTCCTACTCGTTTAGTGCGTCTCTCTCCCCATTTGTGTTTCTGCTGCAGACCAGAACAGATCCTAGAATTTCACAAGTTTAAAATACATATTCTTTTTATGCTCTGCCTCCTTAACTTTGCATGTTAATTCTGTCTGAATGAGGTTTCAGTCATGCTTCACTTTAACAAAATTGAACCAAATGTTGTTAAACCACATCAGCTTGTGCAGATGATAACACAAGCCTTTTAGTGTTGGCAGACACTTTCCAAGTTTCTGTTGTTAGTGCTTTAAAATTAAGGCTGCTCAGATTTCAAGAAGTTTCAAAATGACCAAAACTCACATCTTATATTTCATGGTTTTCTTAGAACTTAACTTCAGCAGTACTACATGTCACGGGATGTGTTCAGGTTCAGCAGTGAGCTAGAGGGTGACCTGCTTGGGTAAAACATGAGCTTTCAGGCTGACTGTGAGAACGCTAAACATTAAAAACTGTCTCGAGACCTGTGTGGGTTGATAAGCTGGAAGTCGTCCCAGGTCAGGATACCGTGGTACCAAGCTGGAGGTTTTGGTTTTGGTGGGTCCATGATGAACTCGGATTTGGAATCCTCATCAAAGCTGCCCACTGAGTAAGTCTCCTGGCTTTCCTCAGTCGATGCTTCAGACTGTACCTCAGACAGTAGCAGGAAGGGCTGCAGGTGGGGCCGCTCAGGGTCGTTACCCTGCGGTGAGCTTCGAGACTGGTATAGCAGCTTGCTCATGTTAGACTTGATGTCCCCCATGCAGAGCAGCTTAAAGAAGGGCTGTGATATTGGTAGGTCGACCAGCCGGTTGTCCTGAATGCACTTGGCCAAGAAGATGCCCAGGAAGTAGAAGAGTTTGGTGATTCGCTCCAGTTCCTCGCTATCCTGAGGGAACGGAGCTGGAAATAGACCACAGGAACGCTGCACATAGTAACCGGGAGGCTTCAGTCCACCACCCAGGTCCACCTGAGACAAACATAAGAGGGATATCTGTTAATTCTCATCTGTTACTTTAAAATGAGCTAAGGCACTGAAGATTCCTGCTGTGGCAAAGAGGAATCAAGGCTCTTTTGGGGGGTTTTCTCCTTAATTTTAAAACTTACTTTTTGTGGTACTTCTTACTAGAGATGGACCGATCCGATATTACGTATCGGTCCGATACTGACCTAAATTACTGGATCGGATATCGGAGAGAAATAAAAAAAATGTAATCTGATCCATTAAATATCAAAAAAGCACCTCACAAAACTTGCGACATGGCATAACTCGGCTCATAAC